GTTTTACTGGATTCTTTTTTTTAGAGTTGACAACTATCCGGTACAAAGAATTTAATTCTTTCAAATAAATACTCAATACCCAAGTAGGCTTATAAAGTTAATCTTGATATGATCAAAATGCTATTTGTACCTAATTTAATATATTTTTTTTGTTGACCTAATAGATCTGTTGCTCCAAAATCTCCTGAGATAGACAAAGATATTTCAATCGACAGACAGTTTTCAAACGACTGTTTGTAAGAGTTCAAATGCTTTGTTTCAAAATTTCATTAGATGAGAAATAAAGAACAAACACATAGTACAAAAAACTAATAAAAGATAATTCTTTTATTAATTCAATCAAAAGAACTTCGGTTAGTCGTTGATCTTTGCCAGCTATGAATAAGATTGTGATAGTCTATAATTTGGACTAGTGTCCATATAGTGCCAAGAAAAATCTCAGATTCCCAAAGATTCCCAAGGGTAGATAAGCTTTTTTTCTTTGTTTTTTTGGCTGACACAGATCAACGAGTGAACCACAATCTATTCCAATCAAAGATAAAGAGAGGAGGACCACCACCTAACTTGGTGGATGAACTGGGTAATCTTTGATTGCAAAAGCATAAGATATGGATAATAAGATGATGTAGCTAACCTAAACTTTATTGCAAAAAAAAAAAAAACGAAACATTAACCATCCATTACTAATAGTTACTGTCATTTAATAAAATAACCTTATTGTTCCTCTAAATGCTAGTACATTTAAGAATTTTGTAAAAACAGAGTTCAGATAATTTGTCCCATTTTAGTGAACCCAAATTACCTATAATTTTGCCAAATTTATGTTGCATGTCCCTTCTGGAATTCAGTTCATGAAAATTCTAATGTAAGCAGACACTACTTTTCTTAGATTCCAGTCTTCGTGTGCAATCACTATCAAATTTTTGTTTGTTTAACGGTTAAAAGTATCCGAGTCAGCTTACGCGCACTTCGACTAATCTTTTCTCTAGTCTAATCAAAAACAGACCATCCATATCAGAAAAAAAGTACTCATGAGGAATAATGACTATCAAATCTTTATCAAGCCAAAAGGTGCACTTAATATAGAGGTCATTTGCTAGCAGAAATTTCTTTACCTAACCATGGTCAGATGGATGATGCTGTGATGTGTGGTTACATTTCCGCAAGATTGGTCAGATTTCTTTGTCCTCGAGTACAAAGTCTCGGTAAGTGTGGAAACTCCATAACAGAGAATTATCAAAGCTCAAAGGACAAGTAGAGAAAGCCTCTCCATGTTGCAAAATTGAATATCCTAAAGAGGGTGCAGAAAGCAAAACTGTTTTAAGCATACAAAAGGATAACCATACAAGAAGAAAGTGATGTCAAAACTAACCTTGCTTGAAGAAACTGCAATGGCACTTCTTCAGTTGCTGCTGAAAGATGGCTTCCTACCCTCTTTAGTCATTGCATCAATTATACCAGTGGTGGTGATGATGTTTCTATTGAAGGAGAAGTCCAGAAAAGGAAAGATCAATCTCCCACCAAGCCCTCCAAAGCTACCAATAATTGCCAATCTCCACCAGCTTGGCAACATGCCACACCATCATTTACTTGAAGCTTGGTGAGGTTCCAACAGTTGTGGTTTCATCAGCGAAAATGGCAAAGGAGGTGATGAAAACCCATGATCTTGCACTTTCAAGCCGCCCCCAAATCTTCTCTGCCAAACACCTTTTCTATGACTGCACTGATGTTGTCTTCTCTCCATATGGTGCTTACTGGCGGCAAATAAGGAAAATTTGCATACTTGAGCTGTTAAGTGCAACGAGAGTCCAATCCTATAGCTTTGTAAGAGAAGAGGAAGTTGCCCGTCTGGTTCATCGGGTTGCAGAATTTTATCCAGGCACCACTGATCTGACCAAGATGCTTGGAATGTATGCAAATGATGTCCTTTGTCGTATCGCGTTCGGAAGAGACTTCTCGGCAGGAGGCGACTATGATCGGCGTGGATTCCAGAAGATGCTTGAGGAGTATCAAGTGTTGCTCGGAGGATTTAGCATTGGAATTTCTTCCCTTCCATGGAATTTATACACAACTTCACTGGTATGAAATCAAGACTTCAGAACACCTTCAAACACTTTGATCAATTTTTCGATGATGTAATAAAGGAACATCTCAATCCCCAGGGAGAAAAAGATCACAAGGACCTTGTGGATGTCTTACTTGATATACAGAAAAATGGGTCAATCGAAATGCCTCTCACCATGGACAACATTAAAGCCATCATCTTGGTAAGTGAACAATACTTGTGCACCATGCTCTAAATTACAGGTGTATGGGGGAATATATGGATATTTATGTATGCATATATACATATTTGTATATATAAGGCTTTTCCTGGGAACCGAGAGAAAGGGAAGGAGACAGAGCCAGTAAGTGGCAACTGGTTCAACGATGCTACCAAAAAATGCCTTCAATTCTATGTGCTATTAGATCCACTCGTTCCTTCTCCTTTCCTTTCAGTCAAGGTCTAACCTCACATAGCGAATGAAAGGTTAGACCTTAGAATAGAAGCGACTATATGCCCTAAGAGCCTATAGTCTTATTTAGCTCAACTGTGTGCATTGGACATCTAACCATATATACTAAGTTGTTATTGTCATTGCAGGACATGTTTACTGCAGGAACAGATACAACCTTCATAACCTTAGATTGGGGAATGACAGAGCTCATAACAAACCCCAGTGTCATGGAAAGAGCACAAGCTGAATTAAGGAGTGCTGTTGGAGAAAGAAGATTTGTGTCAGAGGATGACCTGCTTCAGTTGCACTACATGAAAGCAGTTGTCAAAGAGATCTTCCGACTACATCCTCCTGCACCAGTACTATTCCCTAGAGAATCCATGGAAGATATAACCATTGATGGGTATGATATTCCTGCACAAACAAGGTTTTTCGTCAATGCCTGGGCAATCGGGAGAGACCCAAAATCTTGGGAAAATCCAGAACTATTTGAACCAGAGAGATTCATGGGTAGTAATATAGATTTTAAAGGACAAGATTATGAGCTGATACCTTTTGGTGCTGGTAGAAGAAGCTGCCCTGCTATTAAGTTTGGCACAGCAACCGTTGAGCTTGCTCTAGCTCAACTTCTCCACAGATTTGATTGGGAGCTTCCCTTTGGTATTGAGGCCAAAGATCTGGATATGACAGAAGTCTTTGGCATCACAATGCATAGGATTTCTCATCTCAGTGTAATTGCCAAACCACACTTGCCATAAGTCCAAGCTTTGTCTGTATAAACTGCAGAGCAATAATGTTGATTCCAACAGTCATCTAAACTCAATAATTATTCATCTCTCCGTTTTTGGTTGATAATTTTCTCAAAAACAAGAAAAACCAATAAAACAATATTTGTCCAAAAAAAAAAAAAGATGGTATGAATCATATGCCCATTAAGAATGCAAAAACAAGTCATGCACATCGAGAACTGGTGGTGATTATGTTCTTGAGCTTCGGAAACAAAATGATACTGTAAAAGCAACAATACTTTTGTCTTACTCATTAAATGAGTAGCATTCCAGCATCCTTCTGCTTCATCCAAAGGAAAGCGAAAAAAATGATAGAGAAGCAGCAAAATGGAGTTGGAAGAAAAACTAAATAGGATATAGCATTATGTTGGAAAAGACATGTAAAAACATGATCTGGTGCTGTATGCTTGAAGGCAGCCCCACTCAACAGTCATCAAATTCGATAAATCAAAATCTTCACTTTGAATATAGGATTTTAGAGCTTATGAAGAAGGAAAAGCTCCATCTTAGAGAGTATAGAGCTTATCGAAAAGATCAATCTTCCTGTGTAACAAACACAATGGCAATGTAATGCTTTCAGATCAATTTCAAGACTTCCGTGACTTCCGTAAGACGACACAGCGGCTCCTACATGGTAAATGATTCATGAATACTACCACAACTTGTGCACGAGGAGCTCTGCCTAAAATTTCAGAAAATTCAAAATTAGACAAATGAAATTTCACTCTCTAGGTTGGTGCATTACATCAATCATCAAAGAGGCTATCTTCTGATCATTGAATCCCATCCCAGACAATGAAATGGGAAATTAAAATTTTGAAATGAGGAACACATAACAAAATAATGCAATTGTAACAACCATGGGATACATTTGTTCTAGACATGATGGTTAAGCAGTTCACATGAAGAGCTCACCATTGGTAGGGTATACATCGTTCTAGACAATCAAGAAACACATGTAGCTGGTGCAATAGGTCCAATCCATTCTTTAGGATGTCAAATTAAAACCAAGCCACCAAGTAATGAAGAATTTTATCATTTAAATTCATAATAAATCAGAGAAAACTAGAAATCAAACTGAGAGACAAGTATTCCTAAAACTAAGCTGGATTCTTGTACATGAAGTTATGTAGAAAATAAAAAACAATCAATGGCCACTAAATCACAGAATAGATTCCTTATGAAGCAGTGAAACTAAATATGCATAGCTCACGCATTACACCTCCTTTTACAAGCATGCACGAGTTTGACAAAAATTAGGTGAGGAAATACCCCCATAATAACCTCAACAGATCATACAGAAATACAACTCAATTGACTCAGCGTGCATGAAAAATAGAAAGCATGAAAAAGACATGTATGACAACCACTTCCGAAAACTCATACTCTAGCTTCCAAATTTGGGATGCTTGGCACGTCGCAGTTGTCAGGTCTCTGGTGCATGAACTCAAATGGAGAACATCATCTCTTAGATGCTTGGGATATAAAGAACTTCAGATCCAGTTCTTGTCCCTTAGTGAGCCCTTATATCCTGAAGATAACGACCCACTTGCTGTGCCCCAAGAAACAAAGCATCAGCAACAAGAAAGACTCCAACCTATGACACAAATAATTTGACAAGGGATTATTCTCTGGGTAACAACCGGATCTAAGGTAAGAAGTTTAGTTCATTCCAAATGGCTGGAAAGAATTACTACCAGACGGACAGAGAAAACTAATCGGTAACCCAACCCTCCTTGGCACCTGCAGCTCTTTGTTGGTCAGTCCATCTGACAATAATCAGAGAATGTCAATAAGTGCATTGTCTAATAAAATATATACCGACATAAATTATGTCGGACAAAAAGTAACATTTATTGACATGTCTGAATATGCTGCAAGAAGGCATATCCTATTGTGTGATGGGCTGGAGAAAGATCAGCGATGGTGAGTGATTCAGCGCTTTCCCCTGTTGGTAGGTGAGTTGGAATTGTGTTAAAGCAATACAAGTACGCAGTGTACAATTCATTCCCCAAAATCAGAGGATCAACCAAATCAAGCTGTTATCCAATCCATAAACATCCATTGATTTGTTTCCTTGCTTTTGAACACCGTCCAGAGAACTTGTGATAGATAGCACTGCTACCATGTCACAACATGCTTCATCATAGCAAGCAGTGCATGCACCCTGATGCACTACACTAACAAGCGATAGACGGGGTTTATAAGGTTATACAGATATGTTCATCTTCCAGGAAATATGTACAAAAAAAAAATGCATAAGTCTGATATAATTACCCAAGGAACTCTGAAAGCCCACCAATTCCTGCAAACTTAAAAGGCTGAGGACCTTCCCTTTCAACATCCTGCTCCAAATAAGATTTCATTGCCTCTTTAGTCTTAAATAGCAAAAAAAGAAAGGAAAATAACCATAAAAGAACATTTACATATACGAAAGCAAATTTCAAATTTCTCTCCAAATAAGCTAGTACCTCTTCTTCGGCAGCCTCCAGACCCCCTTGAACCCAAAAAAGGTTTCTATAACCAGCATTGTACAGTAGCTCACAAGCTGCTAGAGATCTTCGACATGAAAATGTGGTTGTGTGAAGCTTGGAAGAGTGAAAAGGTATCCAGAGTCATCAATATTTTACAAATCATATTCAAGTTGAGTTCATCTCTGTTTAAAGTGTAATATTTTCTAAAATTTACTTAGTTGGATGAGCATTGGGTCCCATCATAAGCCTGGACAGTCAACTGGCCCAGTTATATTGCAAACATATAATAAAGCTTATATCAATCCTGTTTGCCCAGCAACCATATATTTCACTTTTTTCTCTTTGTGCACTGGCTTACTTATTGAAGTAATGTTGCACTGCAAACAATAACAACTAATTAAGGAAATAATTTTGTTGTCATCATTTCATGCCCGTTAAATAAACAATGCTTTGGTGCTTTGGGACATTTGTAGGTGCCTCTCTGATAAATGCTCCCATAATATATAGAAGAAAAAGATTAGAAACTATACATTCTAGTGCTTACAAAATACAAAAACTGTTGGTAGTTGCAGAAATTGATGTGTAACAAAAAATGAGAACAAAAAACTCCTCAAAAAATAATACTCCTTGTTTCAATAGGACACTTTCAGGAATTCCAACTTTTTGCCTCCAGAATTTTAATTGCGATAGGAAATTTGAAATGGACCCTACAGCTATTTCAAAATTTTGACAAGTGACCTTTTCACCACAAATAGACTTTTCAAATTCTTGCTCCTACAAAAGGTAGGTTTGGAACATTGTGTAAATAGTGCGTTGACTTCTCACGAAGCACTTTTAACATGGGACATCCTTAAAGGAAGACCAATATTTAATATTGAGATGGAGTATTATATCCCAATGTTTTTGTTTTGTTGGTAAAAAATGAAAAGGAAATGGAGAAGGAACCATCTGTAACCAAAAGGTACAAAGACCTTAATCCAAACATTGTAACAAGAAGTAAACAAATTATTCACTTGACAATCTAGCATTCAAAATTGAAAAGTTCACCTCAATCCCTTCTGGCATGCCACTATAAGATCAGTATCTTTCGAGAATTTCTCCTCAACTTTTGATAAGAATTTACTGTTGGAAAAGGAATCAGTAAGTGGAAATTGGAAATATTATACAGACACATGAAGATCTACAAAAAAAATAGAAGAATAAGAATTCTTTGAGTAACACACTTATCATAGGAGAGTGAAGGCACGCCAGTCCACCAACCTCCTACAAGAAAAAGAGGAAAATTGAACAAGAACTCTAAGGGAATTAACTACAATAGAAAAACGATGTTCTTTTAATTTTTAAGAAGTAAATGAAGGTAGCAAACCAATAATGCTTGTTTCTGGTAATACACCATATTAACATTATTGCAACAACTGTCCATTTGAATAACGAGACACAAGATTTATAAAGTGGGAAAGACCATAGAGATTGTGTAGATGGTATGGCTCCGTACGCAAATTATGAGAGACTCGAGAGATAGTGTAATACCCATCATGAAATTTGTGGCCTTCCTGGAAAGAGTTCCAGCATCAAATCTACTGTCAACTTCAAAGATTGGAATCCATGTTGACCCTTTAACCCATGCCTTCAAAACAGGAGCTAAAATCATGGTAATGGGAGGATGAATAATATGATGATGGAAGTTGAAACATATATGGCGGACCATTTTCTTTTATCTTATTCTGAAAAGAAAAAAAAAATAGGGGGGAAGGGATAAAAAGCAAGTGCTTCCAAACAAATTGATCAAGATGAAGTATGGTGCTTTAATAAATAGGATCAATGAATCCATAACAATAGTCGAAGTTGAAGCTTTCAACACTACAATAATGAAAAGCTGTGAAGAAATCATCACGTAAACTGGCAAACTATATAAAGAAGCGAGTGGCGTGGGACAAATAACTGTATTATGGGACCAAGTACTACACTATAACGCCGAAAGTAAGACATCTCCCTTTTATATTCACCAAAAAACAAAAAAAGAAGGGTTTTTACACAGAAAACAGTGTGAAGAAAAAAAAATTCACCTTTTTACGTTCGATAGACGGACGAACATCAAGTAGGGTTTTGTCGGTAAGTTTTATTGCATACCCAGCTTCCCTTGGGGTCAGAACTTTGACTTTCTCATCCCTGACCTATGATAAAATAGATAAAAAAAACTCCATCCAGAAAGCTATACATAATTCTTAATGCATCAAGGCAATTGATCATATAGTTGATATGCACTACAATCTACTCAAGACGCCCAAGTGGTGAATAAAAGGTCAGGCATTCTAGTGCAAGGCATAGACCTGTAAGGCTCGTCACACAAAAATGTCACGTACAACACTGACACAACTGTATTTATGTTCATTGTATTTAATTTAAGAGACTGTAAAAGAAACAAAAACATCAAAACAATGCCACCGAACAAGCAGTGATTTTTGTAGTTTGTCTGTGCACTCGGGCTTTGTAGATTGTCAGTCATGATAAATATCCAGATTACGTGGCAGCAGAACATTGTACCAAAAAGAATATATACACAATTATTCCAACATCATCCATCAGCCTTGCCAATAAGTTTTTAGGGCACGGGCACAAATAAGACCTCAGACTGATCCAGCTGTGACTACACAGACAAACTACAACTATGCTGACTAAAGTTAATAAGTTTATTTGCATTTGACAGTATAACACCACAGGTAATGATTATAGTGAAAAAAGAGAAAAACTCAGGACGTAACAAGTTTTTGAGTGCTCTCTATATCCCTATGATGATATTAAGTGCAGTTCAATTTCCCAACCTATGAAGTCAAAAGCTGCTTGAACTTTTACAAACTATCAATTTATAGATTTTTAACCCAACCCTCATACCAACTCAAGCAATCACATATTGGCAACTTAAATCACCAGTCCAAAAAATCTATTTTGAGCTGCCTTAAGATTTAATTTCGTAAAACCGAATAATCGTTAAATCCTTTGGATTTGCTACTGCAACTTGGGTATCTATGAAATTCGAATTCAATTGATCGCACCCAAACGGTAAAATTTGACTAGAGCTCCATTTTCGTTGCCCCAACTCCAAATTGCAACTAAGATTTGGCTATGATACTAAAAATCTAACATTTCCTAAGGTCTTAATATCTATATAAGTATTAAAGTTGCTTGGAATTCTCAGAACCTACCAGGGTCTCCCATCTCTTTCTAGCTGCAGCCATATCTTTCATTTGCTTCAACTCATAATCTTCATCAACTGCTTGCATTTTTACCACACTTGCATACTGTACCAAAACAAAAGCAAACCCATCTCACAATTCATGCTTACCTAAATATTAACGCGCATTTACACAAATACATACACAAATTAAAGATACCCAAATCACTACAAAATTGGAAAGATGGAAGAAGAACTTACGCCACTGTGGCGAGTCCCAAAAAGGGGTCTGAGTTTCAGATAAGGTGGGGATGGAGAATAGAGGCGGTGTCCTGTCCTTAACACCAGTGGCTTGTTGAAAAGTTGTTTCTGAGAGTCACAACGCGAGAGAGTGAGAGTGTTCAATGGTGGAAGTCCATGACCGAGAGCTTCCATTGTTGAATTGCTTATCCACTGTCCCTGCAACGAAAGTATATACACAACCAGGGTCAGTTTTGTCTTGCCACCTAATAAGTTTGCTGATTTCGTAGCAGCAATTTAAAATGTTTTTTTTTTTGGACATTAATAATTGGGATAATACAAAATTAATCATGCAATTGAGGATGTAATATAAAAAATATGATAGTTGAAGGGATAAAATAAAAAAAAATTATAATTGAGGGGATATAATTTGCACCGTATAATATTATACTAAAATTCATTTAAATAACTTTTTTAAAATTATAATTAAATATACTTTTATTTTTTTTGCTTAAAAAAATGGTATCATATAGTTTGAATTTTTCATGCATTAAACTTGGTCAAACGAAATTTTTTATGTATTTTGACATGAAAGTAATAATTAAATAAGATGCCATTAAAATTAACCTTTTTTTAGTATTTTTCAATTTTATAAAAAAACTCCTAACTAGTTTCAAACAAACCGATTACGGCTACAAAACCTTTTTAAGCAACTCTGCGTCACGGTTTTTTCCTAGAACTGATTTTCTTAAGGTTAACTTTTGTGGGGTGGTGATTTTGGATGATGACGAGGTTGTAATTGAAGACAGTAATGACATTTTTGTGGTTGGGATGGCCAAAAAAATTATGTATGGTGAGTTGTCAATGGGCGCAGACATCACTGCTACGAAGGTAATTATATATTTTGCTTTACAACAAACAATGCAGCATGTCATCATCGGTTTTGAATCTACATCGAGAATGAACTTCAAATGTTTGATTTGTAGAAATAAAAACATGGTAGCTTTTAATTTAACTAAAAATGCGAGATTTATTGTCTAAGTAAGAGAGAGCTCTAGACTTTGTAATGTCTTTTCTTTTTCGTGATATTTCGTATCAATAAAGTTACCACAATATTTGAATTTTTGTTTATGAGATAATACGAAGATTTTTATTTGAACGTAGTTAATACCATTTAATTAGAAAATTTTAAAAGATTTTATTTTATTTTTTAATTTAATTAAAAAATTATTTTATTTTATTTTCTAGCTCATGTAAGATTTTATTTTCTAGACGATATGCCCAAGCTCTTCCACTTTGTCTTTACTCTCAAAACATAACGACTCTGTTTTTCTCTCTCTCTGTGTCACTTAAATTTTATTCTTATGCATTGAGGGTTTGTTTGTTTAGAAGGATAAAAGTGGATATCATAAGCTGGATTGTATAAAAAACTCGGGAGCCCAAATATCCAAGTTTTGGGTTCTCCAAATGGGATTGAATTTTCGTTGGACTTGAATTAATCAGCCCCGTATGAAAATGTCATGTTCTCCCGCCTCATCAAGATAATGGAAACCCAGCTGAAGTTTGGGATTATTAAGCCTGCTGGCTGGATAAGGATTAAAATGACTAAAATGTCCATTAAACAGTAAACTTAGGTAGGGTGTTTACTCATTTTCCCTTCCCTTTTCACCTGTTGGTCCCCCTTTTTGACAAACGAGACACAATCTTCAGTTGAAGGTAACAAAATCTCTCTCTCTCTCTCTCTCTTTTTCCTGTGTCCCTCGTCTCTCTATTATCTCTTGCTTGGTTATGATCTGTTGGTCCCCCGTCTTTCATATGAACTGGGGAGAAGCTTTGTCTCTCTCTCTTCTTCTCTTCCTTCATGGCCAACGCCTGAAACGTTGCTAGGTGCTATGTATTTTTTTTCATTTGTATAATACTATGTATTTTTTTTTGTAATCTGCTAGCTAAGAGATGAAATCCTATACACTTTCTTGTTTTGCTTTTCTCCCATACTTGACGAAGGACCTTTCCATGGCTAACGCCTGAAAATTTTCAATATGATAAATTTTTTTTTTCAACCAATTATATACTAAAATGAAAATTTTCGGTATGATATATATATTTTTTTTCAACAAGTTACATTCCAATTGCAACATATATACTGAAATGAAAAAGAATCAGTTCAATCTTTGCCCAGTCCCATTTCCTTAGCTTAAATTTGTGTAATGTTTTTTTTTTTAATGCAACGGTTGTTTGGATGACATTTTAAACTATGATATATGTTGGAACATGGAGACTGCGTTCAGGAGGCTATTTGGTTAGTTTGTGCTTAATTGAGCAATATGGTGTAATTGATTGTAAATTTGTGAAAGAGGCTGATTCCATGGTGAATGGGTGGAAAATTGTAAAGAATGGTTTGGAATTCTGTCAGTTGAATGATGAAAAAAATGTGCTCATTTTTTATTGACAAAGACTTTACCTGTGTGTCGTATATATTTTTTTCTTTGTAACAAGTTTTGTTCTTTTTAACATGATTTGAAGGAAGTTTGTATACGGTGTTTCCCATCATGGCTTCTTGTATTTTTTTTTGTGATTGGAAATAATTTTTTCTTCATTTAATTTTTTTTTAAAAAAACCGTTAATTACTACTATTATTGTTCATATGAATTTGGGTTGTGACGAAATTTTTTTTCTATATTTAAGCATTTTTTATTCTAATTGGAACATTGCAGGACATATTCATAGCAGGAAGTGATACTTCTTCAGCAACACTGGTATGGATAATGGCAGAACTCATCAGGCACCCATCAGCAATGATAAAAGCTCAAGAAGAAGTGAGAGAAATTGCCAAGGGAAAAAGGAATGTTGAAGAAAGTGATCTCTCCAAACTTATGTATCTAAAATTAGTAATCAAAGAAGCACTGAGACTCCACCCACCTGCCCCATTACTTCTTCCAAGAGAAACCCTAGAAAGCTGCATGATTGGAGGATACAAAATACCTGCAATGCAAAAGCCATAGGTACTGATCCAAATTGCTGGGAAAATCCAAATGGATTTCAACCTGAGAGATTCTTGAAAAGCTCCATTGATTTCAGAGGACAAAACTTTGAGTTATTGCCATTTGGGGCAGGCCGAAGAGGGTGTCCTGGTATCAATTTTTCTATTGTGTTGATTGAGCTAGTACTTGCAAATCTTCTCTACTGTTTTGATTGGGCACTGCCTGAGGGTGTGAGAGTGGAAGATATTAATATGGAAGAAGCTTTGGGGCTTGCAATGCACAAGAAAACTCCTCTTTGGCTCAGAGCATCACCTGCAAATGTGTAAGAAGGATCGCCAAGACTTGGCTCGTCATACTTGTTGTCGTGGATGATTTGTATTCCGTTCTCAATTTGAACCTGTTTGTGACAGAATACCGTAATGCGTAACCTCATATATTGTCTTCTTTTTTTTTTTTTGTGTGTTTTTTTTGTTTAGTGCTGCTCTTCATTTTTATCTTGTGTATAACACTTTCCTCATGTGTGAGTGACTGTGAGCGAAGGTGAGTGGTCTCAAAAGGACATGATGCCTAACATTTTGCTATTCCATTGTAGATTTAATTGATTTCAAAATTAGATTTAGTTATTCTAGACCATAACCCATGCGTTATTATCTTAGTCTTTGAAATTCTTTATCTTTTTGCTTAAGAAAGTAGCGAGTGATTCTAATCATATATTCATACACAATGGTAACTTAACTTCTGAGATTCTAACCATATTAGTAAATGTTGGTAATACGACTTCCATTTCTATATTCTATTAAGAGTAATAGAAGACTATTAAATGATGTGTCACTACAATAACGATGTTTCTGGTCTTCTTTTATTCATTTAAAGTTGAAGATTTACTTGCCATTTCAACCGCCACATCATTCTTCAGAACAAATGGGTAAGTTTTAGGAGTTAGATATATGAGATAAAAGAGTACACAATCCCTAGTTGTAATGTTTTTGTACTATGGATACAAATGGAACAATCCTTGTTGTACATGATGTTTCCCATCCCACAAAAACCAATGGGCAAGCACCATATCCATTAAGCCCGTAAAACCTGAGTCTGGCAGTAGAGCCACGTGGGTTTGGCCCGTTAAGCTCCACTACAAGTCCATTTAAGGCCTGTTGAAGAGGCACAATGGGCTGATTCATCAGTGGATCCATTTTTTCAGCCGAAATAAAAAATAAATAACCAATCTCAATAAAACAGAAAAATTCCAAATATTTATTTTGGGCAACCCTCCAAAGACCCATCAGAGCTACCGAAATTTGTAGGCAACGGGCTGTATTTTTGGTTTGACTGTTCGGCCCAGTCCGATGCAGATTTTAAATTTGCCCAAATAAACCGTAATTCTTATGATACGGATCTGAATCACTGTTATTCAATTTTACTCAAGTCACGTACTATGCATCCCCCAACTATATACGCATACTGTGGATAAGCTAAAAATGTCGTAAAATTGAATATAAATTAAATGGGGACGATCTCAATTTCTTATCATAGACAATAGGGAGCCTTAGAATTATATCCAAGGTGACAAACAATCACTTTTTTTTTAAAAAAAAGGTCAGAGGTGGTAAATTGAAGTTAAAAACAATCCTCGTTCAACTCTTCTCAAAAGGAGCTAAAAGAAATAAGACATCACTCGTCAACTTATTACTTAGTAACTTCTTAAGTGAGTGAAATGATCCATTGTGATGGGACACGCACTCTAACTAAGAAAGAGTTTCGTCCCGCCATTCGTGACGGTGGGAAGGAATGAAATAAAGGATGCCTTTCTAATAAGGCGATCATCCCGTCATTTTTGATTTTAAGAAAAAAATGGAGTAAGAGATGTCTTTCTAGGAAGTCTCTCAGCCCGCCATTCTTGACATTAGGAAGGAATGAAGTAATAGATGCCCTTCCAGGAAGGAGTTGTTTTTCCCATTCCACCATTCCTGACGTTAGAAAGGAATGGAATAAGGGATGAAATTGTTCCGGTTAGTTTATGTGCACTTCGATAAATCTCCTTCTCAGTCTGGTCGAAGAAAAGTCATCTACGCTGAAATTGAAAAATTCATGAAAAATAAATTTCTAATGATCTGAACTTAAAAAGTTGTCAAAATTCGAACCCTCAATTTAAACCACCTAGTGTTTACAAACAATCACTTTTGCACAAAATGAAGTTGGGTGAGCTTTCTTTCAACTAAGGACACAAATTCCCCATGCTATGGTTTGGTAAGCTGTCCCTTCAGACAAAGATTCATTGTAGATAGAATCGGACATCTTTTAGGATGGATCGAACAAACATGATTTAGCCAATTAGTCGCATGCCTTATTTGCATGACCGCCCCATTGTTCCGATCTTTATGAATGTCTTCCCCATTATAAGTACCTTGTTTCCCTCCCAATTCCAAACCACTCTCTCTCTCTCTCTCTCTCTCTCTCTCTCTCTCATGGAGGATAAGAAGCAAATACATAGTGTCTGCAAATGTCTCATCAGTACCTTAATCTTTCTGCAATGGTTTGAATGTAGTACTGCAGCAAAAGGGTCCTCAGGAGGAGGAGAAGGGAAATGGCAACTTCTCCTGAACAACACAGGAGTGGTGGCCATGCACATTGCCTTAACCCACCACAACACAGTGATAATGTTTGATCAAACCGGAACAGGCCGATCGGGCTACCGACTCTCTCACCGGAACAACGGAACGAGGTGCAAGAACACTGGCAGTGATTTATCAGACTCATCCTGCTATGCTCACTCCATGGAGTACAATATAATTAGCAACAAAATTAGACCTCTCATGCTTGAAACTGATCCTTGGTGCTCTTCAGGTTCCATCTTGAGCAATGGAACAATCATTCAAACTGGCGGGTATGGCAATGGTTATCGAAAAATCCGATACTTCAAGCCTTGTGATGAGAGCAATTGTGATTGGAAGCAATCAAGAACACAGTTATCGCATAATCGTTGGTATTCTTCCAATCAAATTCTCCCGGAAAATGATAGGGTCATTGTTCTTGGAGGAAGAAGGGCTTTCAATTATGAATTTGTACCTAAATTTTCTCCTAGGGACAGTTCTTTTGATCTTCCATTTTTGCACCAAACATATGATGGAAAAGGAGAAAATAATCTCTACCCTTTCCTCCACCTTTCCTCAGATGGAAATTTGTTCATTTTCGCGAACCGGGATTCAATTCTTTTCAATTATAAACAAAACAAAGTGGTGAAAAAGTTTCCTCAGATTCCTGGGAATGGATCAAGGAGCTACCCGAGCACCGGTTCATCGATAATCCTTCCTTTAGACCACAGTGATGGCTTCCAAAAGGTGGAAGTCATGGTGTGTGGAGGTGCAGCTTCAGGAGCTTACACAGCTGCTAAAAATGGCAGATTCTTGGAGGGTTTGAGGTCTTGTGGAAGAATGTTGATCACAGGAGAAAAACAAAAGTGGAAAATGGAGGACATGCCAGGTCCTCGTCTCATGAGTGACATGTTGATACTTCCCAATGGTTATATACTGATCATCAATGGTGTCAAAAATGGCTGTGCTGGGTGGAACAATGCAGACAACCCTTCTCTTCAGCCTTACCTCTACAACCCAGAGAAAACAGAAGGCAGAAGATTTTCAGTTCTGAAGTCCACTAAAATACCCAGAATGTACCACTCATCAGCTCTTCTTCTACCTGATGGGAGGGTTTTGGTAGCAGGTCGGTCTTAGAATTTCAATATAAAATTGGGGGCGACAATGAGTCGAATTAAGTCATTTTGGGTTCTGACGGACACTAATCGATCCTAATATAATTTATTTAATTAATCATGCCGTGTCGAACTATTTATTGTGTTAACCTATATAATCCATGAGTAAAAAATTTAATGCTTAGTTTTATATTTAAAATTTCATTATCACTTAATTGAATCAATGCTCATACTTTTTTTATAAATTAAAAATTAATTTAATAAATATAATAATAAAATAAGTAAAAATATCTTTTTGTTTTGTACAAGAATTAAGTCACTTGACAAAATATAATAAAAATTGGTATTTTCTTTTTATAATGCTATTTAAATGTATTAATTATGTCAATTTCGTATTATTTATGTTTGACACTAACCTAACTCATTTATTATTGGTGTTAACGCGGTCGTGTTATACACAAGTTTGTATCGAGAAATAGTCAATCTTAACCCGCTAATTTCGTGTCTATTTTGAGTCTTGTTTTTGTATTATATCAGAAATTACCACCCCACCCCTATACAAAATCCTACTTTTTTAAAATTCTTACTAAAAATTTTCAAAACTAATGATGTTCCATATTAAGGATATTTTAATTCTTTTGTTTTATTATATTTTTATGTCATAATTTGATAGACCTTTTTTATTGCAATGTAATTTAGGTTTTGATATATGATTATCATGGTCGCTTGAAAGCCTATAAGAGCAGGTCCAACTTGTACAATTGGTTATCCCTATACATTCTCAAGCCACTCCATCATTCTTTTTATCATCTCCTATGCCTCTTGCTAGCATTATAATATTAAGTTTTCAGACTACTACAATTTGATTTAAGTTATCCCCTATTTCTATTGATGCAAAGAGGTTTTCGTGCGAGCATTGAAATGAATCTTGATGTCCGTGATTAATTTCATTGGTTTGTACTCTATTTTACATATAATCTATAATTGCATAATCGTTCACAATTTAGTTACTATTCATATATGTATATAAATACGATGATATTTTTTTTTTTTTCAAATATATTGATATTAATGATTAAACTATTAGTTTGGTTAATATTTCTGCAGGAGGTAACCCTAATAGTCGATACACCTTCAATGGCGTTCCCTATCCTACTGAACTGAGATTACAAGCCTTTACTCCAGACCATATGGACTCAAAATTTTATAGCCGAAGGCCACAAAATGTGTCTATATATTACAGCAGTGGAGAGGAAGGTGTTGGCTATGGAGGAGAGTTTGGTGTTCAATTCTGGAATGAGAAGCCGATGGAGGTTGAGTTCAGTGCCTATGCGCCCCCATTTACAACGCATTCGATTTCGATGAATCAGAGGATGCTAAGGCTTAGGTGCAAGAGTATGTTTAGGAGTGAGGATGGTTGGGCGAATGCACTTTTGGAAGCCCCTCCTTCAGCTAATGTTGCACCTGCTGGTTATTATTTGCTCACAGTTGTTAATGGAGGAATTCCTGGCATATCTCAGTGGGTTAGGTTCATACATGCTTGAGAGTTGATCTCTCTCTCTCTCTCTCTCTCTCTCTCTCTCTTTCCTAATTTTGTTGCATAGTATTAGCAATAAATTAGTATTTGTAATGTGGCAATATATTGTACTTGTAATTCATAATCCATGGTAGTGAAAAGGTGTGTTACACTTCTAACGACCATGCGTTACAAATGTAAAGATTTGTGTAATGTTCTCATGCGTCTGCAAATAAATGGTATTTCGTAACATTATCAACTATACCCCGAACAGCAGAAATCGTAGTTGCTAAAGCAAGGAGAGAAAACAGTACAACAATGGTCCAGTGCCACACCCTCATCTCCATCCTCGCCGTCTTTCCCTTGACCTGTGTAGTGAGAAAGCAAGCACAAATCAGTCATTTTTTTAGTTCTTTATGTCTAGTTTTTCTTGAATATTGGGATTTTCTAAGGTTACATATTTTTTGATTCAATTAGATCCAACCACGATTGAATATAACAAAGTTAGCCCCATTATATTAAACTGCAACTTTTACATCATAAAGTTATGACTTGTATCAATTTTTTTCAATACATTATCGACTCGGTATTGAAAATATTCATCAAGTGCTACGTAGCTCAGCACTAGTTTGGAGTGTTACCTTAAGGAAGATCAAACTTGGGAAAACGAATGTTAGAGGAACACGTGTAAATGATCCCAACAAATTTACAAAGTCTCCCATGAAAGGGAAAGCTGCTGTCACCAGTGTATTTGCCGAGAAGAAGAGTGCTCGGAGGGAGAATAGGCGTTTGATGTTTTGCCTTGAATGCATGCTTTCCTTTAGGTTTAGGAACTTGGTATCAAGGGCCTCATGAATTGGTGCAACAAACATCTGGATTTATTTATCACACACAAGAGAAAGAGTTAAAACAACTATCTCTACTTGCAATTGTTTCAGCAAATATACAATTTACAAGACCTGTCAACCCGACATGAAGTTAGCTAATCTAAGTTTAACCTTAGTAGAATCGGGTGAAAAATAAATTGACTAACAAAAATATGTTTAATAAATTATTGACACGAACTCAACATGATACGATTTAGACAACGCACTTTGCACTATATGCACATAAAATATCGCTTGTATAAAAATTCGATGGAAGGTCGGAAGATGCCAAGTTAATGGTATACCTAACTTACATGCTAATTAGTGGTATCAACTAGAGAACAAGAAGACAACAGAAGAAGAAGGGCATACATACATGTTGGGAGATTATGGATTGTACAAAGACAGCTGAGTTAACCAGGACCTTGACCCATCTGGGTCCACTCAGTTCTTTGGGGACGTACTCACATACGGTTGAACCATAGGCCCAGTACCCCACTATGGTTACTCCATAGTAAACTGCTTGCCCCACACTGTACTGTGCATACAAAGCTTTCCTCATGTTTTCTACTGCTGGCCTTCTCAAAAGTTGACTGCAAATGTAGACAATTCCAATTTACTTAATTGTTTAATGACCAGTTGATATGTTCTTACATGAATTCTTACCGTAAATCGTAGTTTTAGTCTATTTATGACCATTGGTCATCAAAATACTAAATAGTAGAATCGATAAAATATGAAAAGTTTTACACGTTTTTTTTTGTTAGCGAAAATAATGTGTACGCGGCACCAAATTAATGGTGCTCTTTGATACTTGGATCCGAATTTTTGAACACTGTAAAGGGGTTTTACCTGTATTTCCAGTAGCAAGCCGGAGGTGTTGCAGACAATAATGGCGGATATGGCGCCAAAGGCATTGAATACCTTGCCCACATTGCTCCCACTTATCTCATAATACTTGTTTTTGTTTGATTTCCCTTCAGGAAAAAGGAAAATTTTGAGTGTAAATAGAGGGATATGTGCATAAAATCTCAACAACTTCCAATAGAACTTCAACTAGATGCTTGTATTTAATAGGGTTAAGATGAAGGTAAAGAAAGAGGCATCATACCTATAATCATTTAAGGATAAATTACGATCTTAAAAAGATCAGTTATACCTTAATGAGATCAAGTTACGATAAAAAAAACACTGATTACAGCTCAACAAGGTTAAGTTAAGAATAAGATTCAATCCAAATAATCTAATTTTGTCATAAATTCACCACAGTCGTGACCTCACTAGATTGAGTTGGGCATGAGATCGGAAAATAACTCTTTCCATAATGTAATCTTGCTTGGAAGTATCTTTGATGCCATGAGATTATGGTTAAAACAAACATGAAGTAGCAATGCATTCCAAGCAAAAGAATTAAAGAATGCCCACCATCTTTCACTAGTACCACCAGAAGTATGGAGACAACCGAAGGTAAGAAACATAGCGGCTGCCAACCATTTTCTCATTGCCGACATTGTTGGAACCAATAATGCGAACAAGAAGTAGGTGGCTCCGGTGACGATGACGAAGAATTGGAGCCTCAAGGGAGAAGAGCTGCACTCCGAATTGATTTCTTGTTTCATTTGTACATTTGGTATCAACTTAGAACAAGCATGTACACCGATTATGTTTATGGTCATTCATATATGCATATGGATGATTAATAAGAGTGTCAATTTTACCCATTATCGTGGGCCCGATCCAACACGTAGTCAGGAATAACACTACTCTTTTTTAACATGAACTCGGGTTAGTGATAGCACGAATTATGACCCTTTTGTTGGTATTATAAGAAAAAAAAATTATTTCTTATTCCTCTTGTTTCTTTATCTAGTGTTTTACGAATTATTTACAAATTAGATTTTGTTTTACTACCACGAATAGTTGCATGAATTCAAATAACACGAAACAAAAACAACACGGTCCGACACAACTCAATTGATATTGATTTCTGGCTAGATGGTAAGGTTAAGTGAGGGAAAGGCCATACCTTGAGTGCCCTTCCTCCAAGAAGTATGAATCCCATGTTCCCAAGAACAAGGGTCAAGGATTGGAAAATCCAGGTGATATAGAACAGTTTTCTTCCTTCATAAGAAGAGACAAATGAGTGACCTTTTTGTAGCTTTACTTTCAGTTAAACTCAAACATAGATGTCTATCTCTGCAGGCATATGTGATGTTGGAGAGAGACAGAGAGAGAGTCCAGTGTGACAAACCTACCATAAAGAAAGCCCATAAGATCTCTGTATCTGATGAACCTTTGGCCATTGATAAAGTTAAACCCTGCCAAGAGCCAGTTAGCATAGGCAGTGAAGAGACCCACAAGAAGCAAACAAATGATGCCCCATGTCCAACCCATAGGCACCAATATGAGATTTGAAAAGCTCAGTATGTATCCACAGTTGAAGCTTGTTACCAGCATCAACCCAACTTGCTTCCATGAATCTGCAAGTTTACATCAAAGTCTCCTTTTCAGAAATAGATAATTAGAGAAATACAGGAGCAAGATTTCAAATATGGAGAAGATATAAATTAAGCTAATCAATACATGGTTCAAGATTTGATCCAATTGGGCTAAGTCGTATTCTACCCGGCACCTTTTGATCAGATACTGTTCAACATATCTGTATAAATCATTAGTCTCACACAACTTGAATGAGTTATCATAGGCATAATCGAGTCTCCGAGTCATCGACCATTAGATAACGTTCATCATAACCGAGTCTCGGAGTCATCGTCGCCAATCAGTTGATAACATTCCTCGATGCTGTGATATGATTTAAAAAATCTTTTGTCGTGTTTAACATTTTTTTTTATGCGGCATTTTATACATATCCCGGATACAATCTTGAACATCGCGACTAATGAATCTCAGTGCCTTCTGAGTCGACAGTCAATACCACAACTTTGAACCATCAACCAGTATTGATTTTTCGGCTCCAAACTCTAATGTGATCAGGAAGAGAAAACACAAAAACTGGAGTACTGCTAATACTACAGATGAATGTAGATGTTGAGAACTGAAATCTGAGTAGAAACAGCGTAGAACTGACCATGATCAATGGTATGCGCAGAAGCAAGAACATATTCATGAATTTGATCCTCCTTCGCTTGCCCCTGTTCAACACTTAGAGCTGCTTCTATGGTGTTGTTCTCTTCTGTTTCCATTGTTTCTACCAAGATATTTTGGGTTTTCCAAAATCAAGCATACGGAGGCTTTATTGACTATAGATCATAGTGATTGGCCTGCTGGCAAATTGGTATTTATGCAATACTGCCTGCTTCAAAATATGAATAGATAGTGTGTGAATTAAATAAACAACTCAATTGTGACATGATACTATCAACTGTATAAAAAATCCATCATGTTCGATGAAAAACTGTCACAACATTAATTTGTCAATAACTTTTTCACCAATTTAACGAATTGATGAGTGACAATAGTTCTCGAGAATGTTTGCCTTTTAATAGGCTATCTACAACACCTGACAATGTCAAATGAAAATTTCTCGAAGTATACACTCACCCTTGTGCCTAATAATTACTGGATGCTGGCCATTGGCCAATAAGCAGAATTTTTTTTGGGTTAATATATAATCATATTTTTCACCTGCAAAGTTTACATCAATTCTCAGGGTCGTAAAGTGTTCTTTTTTATTAATTTTGACTTTCAATCTTTCAACAGTTTCTATTCAATCCAATCACGCCTCCATAAAAATAACTACACAAGAAATGTTTGGTTTTGTTCCGAGAATAACAATACTACTACACACATCATCTCTCTACACCACGTTCATATGAACCATTAAATTAGCAAGAATCGGGTATAACTTAAATGGTACAAAGCATAGTATGCTTACAAATAGTGATACTTTTGAAGGGGGGGTGGTGCAAAGCCCCATATGACTAATATCAGACTTTATGTTATTTAAGACTTAGATTCTTTTTTGAAAATGAAATGCATTTCATTTTCCTTTTTTCTTTTTTAGAAGGAGAATTGACTTGCTCTAAATTTTATGAGCATGGACTTGGATGCAATCTTCAATTTATAGAACTAAACAAATCAAAATCACGATTGAAGTCATAATCATTAAAAATGTCATGCCTCGTCGTTGGTAACTAAGCCTATTTCCTCAAGTAAGGTTTGTCAACGGATTGGGTTTGCATCAGATTTGACGGATTGAAATCCTAATATGATTTTGAAAGTTCGATTCAAAACCGATCCGATAATCCGACGATTCATATTTGCGTGCTTTATATCCGAATTCATTAACAACCTAAATCTGATATGAAAAATCTAATCCGATCCAGATAACTAAATTTTAACAAATTACATTAAGATACCGGATTCAAATTCAGGTTAGAATAATCGATAAAAAATATTAATTCATACTTGACTAATCAGATTCAGATTAAAATATGATCCATTAGCAGACCTATCTGAGGCAAAACAAAATGGAGAATTAAAATGAACTTAAGAAATGAGTGCAATTGAATCCGGTATCAAGGAATTGGCATTTGGCTAAAAACCGAAAAAAGGAATGAAAGATTTTATATTGGGCAATTGTTTAAAATATGTATCATAATCCTTGCATAGTATACTATGGAACCCAATTAGATAATTCATTTCAATGAGCTGCCCAAATCCAACAAAACTCTTCACAATCTGTCCTTCCGTTATAGTTTTGATTAGAGTTTGTAAGGCTCTGCTTTGTACTTTCCTCCTTTGTTTGTATAGTAGTTTTGCCGGCCCATGCTCCTCAACAATAACCCCTTCAAAATTTTTTATTAAATATTACACTAAGTTGAATTTTTAATTAGGTAATTGAAGTAGTAGCAAAGACGAGCTATAAATTTATACGTTTTGAGTTTAAATCTTGACAACTCATTGAGATTAGGTTATGAGGGATTTATTCCTCATGAATACTCTAATCTTGACATGGATGGTCTGTCTTTGACCAGACTGGAGAGAGGATTAATCAAGATGCGCGAAAGCTGACCCGAACACCCCGACCGTTCAACCAAAAAAAAATTTATAGAAGCATAATAACAGTCAAGATTAACCCAATTTCTATATATTTTGATTCAATAGTACAAAATTCATTCTAAATTTTTTTCCCGCCCAAAAACATCAACTCACACTCCCCAATGCTAGAATCGCCTATCTCTCTCTTCTCTCTCTTACCTCTCTTTTATTTTCTTCCTGTTCACTTTAATTTTAAATTGTATAATTAAAAAAACAAGTTACTATTTCAAATATAAATATTACACGATCAATGTTCAATTTTTTATATCAAATTGTCTTCAGACATAAGATTATTTATAGTCTATTTATATATCTAGTTTTAGAAGTTAGAGAAATGTGATGTTTGATAAAACATAAAAGTAAGGAAAATTTTCATCCACCCCTGTAATTAAGTCTAAATTCAATGACACGCCTCCCGATTTTAAAACTTCACCATCACCTCTCCCGATTTTGAATATTTTATAGGATAAATTTTATCCACACCCCTTGTAAATAGACATAACTTCAACAACACCCCTTGTAAATAGACATATATTTAACAATACCCACTCCCTTTCAGTTCAATTATATTAATCTTTAGGTTCATCAATTTAATATTTAATTTTATCAAATTAATGTCTTTTATTTAATTTAAATTAAATTAACATTCCATCTCATCAAAACAACATAAATTGATATTTAATTTTATCAAATTAGCATTTAGTTATATTAATTTAATATTTTATTTCATCAAATTAATATTATTTCTTTAATTTAACATTAAATTATTATTTAATTTCATCAAATTAATATCAAATTGTCATTCAATTTTATTAAATTAAAATTTAATATATTAAATATAATATTAAATTCCATTAATTTCACATTTAACCTT